TGCGGACTCCATCTCTAAAACCCAGGTCTGCCACGCTCCTTGGAGTATGGCCACAGGCAGGCCACCCCTCTTTCCTCCGCTGTACCACGGGCGGCACCCTCCAGGGGCCCTCACTATCAGAGCGTCTGATAACCACCCCACAGCAGCGGGGCTGTACCAGAAAGGAAGTCGCCTTCGGGTCCCCACAAAAGGAGTTTCCCCTCCTGGTCCCTCTCTACTCGGCACGGACCCCAACCAGCCCCGCAAGGCTTTCCTGGAAGGGCAGTGAGGCCCTGCCGAGCTGAGGTTCTGGACGACCCGGCAGGTTGCACCGAGGTGGGCGAGCCTCGTGGAAAACGCAGTTTCCCTAAGTTCATGAGGGTGATGTGGGGGACCTGCTAGATGACGAGCCTCACTCGTCTGCTGGGTAAGAGGAAGAAGAGGGGGCTCTCACTGACGCTGGGAGAGCAGGCCTGTTGGGGGTACACGTGTCATCAAGGCCTTAGAGCAGCATTCTCAACCTCCCTACTGCCGCGACCTTTACATACAGCTCCTCATGTGGGGGTGACCCCCAACCATAACATTATGTTCGTTGTTACTTCATCACTGTCATTTTGCTACTGTGATGAATCGTCATGTAATGTCTGATCTATCTGCAGGATGTACTTTCATTGTTACAAACTGAACACAATGAAAGCATCGTGATTCATCACAAAAACAATATGTAATCATATATTGTGAAATATTTATTTCTAATGACAAATCAATGACACTTCATCTTGAAGCATGGTGTAGCATGGGTAACAGTCTTCACACCAGGTACTCGTAGGTGGGCGTATCTGAATGTGGGCAGACCCGGCTGGAGACGCTAGAGGAGCAGGGTCTCGGTTCCTAAGGCCATCAGAAAGAAGTGTTTTCCAATGGTTTTAGGTGACCCCTGTGAAAGGGCTGTTTGACCCCCAAAGGGCTTACTTCCCACAGGTTGAGAACCGCTACCTTAGAGGAAGGCCCTCCCCAAACACGCGGCCATGCCCTGGTGCTGAGAAACACAGAAAGGGTCCTCTCACGGCTTGACACGGGTGGAAGTGTAGGTCAGAAAGTGAACAAAGCTGATGTTATAACGAGAGCGCAAGTGCTAAGTGCTCTTGTGGTTGTTGTTAGGTGCCGCTGAACTGACTTTGAACTTGAAGCCGTGCCATGTGACACAACAGGACTGCCATTGGTGTTCTGTCATCATCTCTATGGGGTTCTGGGGAGGTGCTGGCCCCTTCAGTAACCAACTGTTTTCCGGTCACTGGTTAGATACAGATGTTTAAAACACTTGGAATAGTTTGGGGCATGACTGGTATAGATAAAAGGCTCAAACAAACCTCTTTCATCCCAAAATTTATAATAAAGTTTTGGTTCCCATGAATCCATTTAACTGGCTGTTTCCTCTGAGGCTGAGCTCATTGAACTGTGGTGAGAGCTAGCGACATTAGCTAGCGTATTATGGAAGGAGTCTGACGCTCAAATGGCATTTATGAACGAGGACGATGGAAAGACAATAAGAAAAGAGCAAGGGAGGAGGACGTGGTGCTCACCGTAAAACCAGGAAATGGAGACACATTCAAAGAACACGAGGAACAGCAGGCTCATGCCACTGGCCGAGTAGTAATCAAAAAGTTTGAAGACATAAATGCCTCCCTGCAAAAGAACGGGGGTGAGAGAAAGGCTCCCGCCCGCCCCCCATCCACCGCCAGTGCCCGGTGTGGTCAGCTCATGCTCCACAGGCCAGGCCTTTGGGGTCCTGCCAGGCTGGGATTAGGCTGCCATGCAGCAAGAGGGCATAGGGTAGAATGAAGAAGCACCACATGCTTTGTGGGTTGGGAAGAAAATGCCTGGGCGGAAGAGACCCTCCACTGCGGATAAAAGAGGAGTTCATAAGGGGCTGACCTCTGGTCCCATCTCTCTACAACCTAAAGCAGTCACAAATCTCTCCTGCTTAAATTTTCCAGTGGCTTAAATGAACAATGATACGATAGCTAGATGGCAACAGATTTAGGCAGACAGACAGAAGACAAACACTAACGCTATCCCGAGGCCTCGGCCAACAAGGTCCTGCAGGAACTGTCTCCTCAGCCCAGGCTTTTCCCTCCCCAGCCACCCGGCCTCCATCTCACTCTCAAAAGGGCCATCACCATCCGAGGGGTCTGCACCTGCTGGGCTTCCTTCCCCCGGTGGATGGGCTCTCCCTCGTCATTTCCATCTCTGCTCCGTCGTCACCTCCTCAGGGCTACCTCCCTGATGACCAGACCCACAGCAATGTCCCTCCTGCCCCAACTCCAGCTGGACCCTCCGGCTCGTTCTGAGACGTCTGCATCTCAGCTCCTGCACCCCTTCCTCCAGGAAGCCCTCCCTGATGCCATTGGCCAGAGGCATGCTGCATTTCCCACCTTGGCACTGACCCTTTGATCCCGAGCCTGGCTCCCTAGGTGTGCAGCGCTACCTGACAGGCAGCTCACTGAAGGGAGGGCAGCTGATCAGACAGAGCTGGGCGCAAAGACGCTGCTGGCAGTGGATGGGGGTGGCTCCAAGGCAACATTGGCAGCACGGCAGGTGCCACCTGAGCAAAGCTCACCTGGGTGATGTTGGACAGGCCGATCAGGTAGGAGACGATGCAGACAGCGGCGATGAAGAGCTCCCGGCGGTTGCGGAGCAGCCGGGGGTACTCGTCCACCAGGGCCGTGATGAAACCCTCCACCGTGCAGAACTGCAGTGGGCAAAGGGTGCAGGAACATTCGGCGGACCAAGCCCGGCCCAGCCCAGCCCAACCTGACCCGCCAGGCACGACGGGTGTGTTGGCAGGCACCGGGCTGCTGCTGCCTCTGAGTGGGGCTGTGGCCCCAGGAAAGGCCCTTCCTCCCCGAGCATCCTTTTCCTCCTCTGGAAAATGGGGAGTTGGGGCTGTTCCCTGAACATCTGTGTCATGGAACATCCTGGGGACTGAAACTCTTGATCACCTCCTTGGGGGTCTACGGGCTCCTGTGTGCCGACTCTCAGACAGAGGGGTGGAGGGTGGGCTCCGCTGGGTGGACTGCCACTCACCTGGCTGTCAATGCCCAGCATCAGCAGCATGGAGAAGAAGAGGGTGGCCCAGAGCGGAGAGATGGGCAGCTGGGTCACAGCCTCTGGGTAGGCCAGGAACGCCAGGCCGGGGCCTGCAGAGGGGGTGGGGGGTGGGGGTGGGGGCTAACTAAGCAGCTACCGGCTGCCACAAACTCTCTAGGCCAGCGGTTCTCAACCTTCCTAATGCTGTGACCCTTTAATGCCTCATGTGGTGACCCCCAACCACAAAATTATTTTCATTGCTACTTCATAACTGTAAATTGGCTACTGTGATGAATCGTCATGTCAAGATCTGATCTGCAGGATGTATTTTCATTGTTACAAATTGAACATAATGAAAGCATAGTGGTTAAGCACAACACCAGTGTGTAATTCTATATTGTGAAATATTTATTTCTAATGACAAATCAAGGAAATTTCGTCTTGAAGCATGGTGTAGCATGGGTAACAGTCTTCACACAGGTTACTCGTATGTGGGCATATCTGCATGTGGGCAGACCTGCCTGGAGATCGATTGAAGAGCGGTGTCTCAGATCCTAAGACCATTGGAAATATGTGTTTTATGATGGTGTTAGGTGACCCCTGTGAAAGGGTCATTCGCCCAAAGGGATCGAGACCCACAGGTTGAGAACCGCTGCTCTAAGCTTTAGTGCCTTTGGCTGTCAGGGCAACTTTTAAAAAAATTATTATTAGCACTTTGTGGTAGTTACATAATTTCATGTCAACTGGAGACATTAAAGTGTAGAGGTGGAGTCTAGCCTGTCACTCAGGCTACAATCTGATGGTACCTCCTTGTGGGTGTGGCCTTCTCATAAGGAGTTGCCCTGGGAACCTTTCTCTCTCTCTTTGCCTTCACCTCCTTGCCACAGAGCCACGCTGAGACCTTCTAGAGCTCTGTGATGCTTCCACTGCCATTGGATCCACATGACATTGCACCCACCGGCCTGTGAGCTTCCTGCACACTGCATCATTGCATGTGGCTGCCTGAGTCTGAAAAGGGACGTATGGACCAGTATGGGACTGATGTACCCACTTGGACTGGGCTGGGATGTTTTCCCGATAATGTAAAGCTGCTTGATAAAGCTCTTTCTCACACATATGAGTGTCACTGAATTTGTTTCTCCAGTCAACCCGGCCTAGCACACAGTTCATCCACATGTCATACAATTCAATAATCCAGTCATACCAAGAAGAGTTGTACAATTGTCACCGCATTCAGGGTGAGGGTTGTCAGCCCCTTTCCAGATGAGGAAGCACAGGCCCAGGGCAGGCGGGCTGCAGGGCATGGGTTTGGGGGAAGGAAGAGCTGTAGCCATTGTCTGATGGGGCAGGGGCAGCCTGGTCAGCAGTGGGCAAGCAGAGATGTGACCAGCTAGAAGGTATGTGGGAAGGCCCTGGTGTTGGTTGCAAGGTGGGTGGGCGTAAGGGCTGCAGCCAGGCTGAGGTGTCTGGCCTGGGCACCATGGTGAGGGCAGGGAAAGCTTTGCTGTGATGGGGAGCATGGGAGAAGGCGTGGGGGCATCTGCTGTGGATCCAAGTGCTCAGGGGAAACCTTAGACAAGGAGGAAAGGGTCTTCATTTGGGAAAGGTAGTCTGGCGGGCATCAGAGACATTCAGGATGGGCTGCCTTTGTAGGAAGGTTAGAGCCTATGCAGAGAAAGTTACTCTCCAGGGGAGACAAGCCAGACCGTGCACCAGCCTCGGGGGCCTGCTGTGCCCACAGTGGGTCTGAGTCTCAGGGGTCTGCTGCACACACAGTGGGTCTGAGCACCAGGACCCTACTGCACACACAGTGAATCTGAGTCTCAGGGCCCTGCTGCACACACAGTGAGTCTCAGGACCAGCGCCTGCTGCACACACAGTGGGTCTGAGTCTCAGGGGTTTGCTGCACACACAGTGGATCTAAGCACCAGGGCCCTACTGCACACACAGTGGGTCTGAGTCTCAGGGGCCTGCTGTGTGCACAGGGGTCTACCACATTTTCAGCTTCTCTGGGGTCGGGGTATAGGGCGAAACAGTGAGGGAATTCCTCAATCCTGTGGCTGCTATGAAGGAGCTCTGGGGGTGCTATGGGATAAGCATTGGGTTACTAACTGCAAGGTCAGCGGTTCAAACCCAGCAGCCACTCTGCAAGAGAAAGATAAGGCGGTCTGCTCCTATAAAGATTTACAGAATCCCCATGTAGGAAAACCATGAGTCAGAGCCGACTGGATAACAGTGGTTGGGGCGTGGGGGTGGGTGGGGAGGGGGTGGCCTCTGTGTGGGTGTGGGGGACAGAGAAGGCACAGCTCACTAGGTGAGAACACAGCCCACTGGGTGAGCAAGTCCGTGTTGAAACAAACCACATCTTGCAGAGGCCAGACTGGGACGACTCCTCCCACAAGTCCAGGCTGGTGCGGCAGGTGCCAGCGTAGGCAGAAGGTAAGCAGCCAGGTTGGGGGTGCTCCACTCCTTTCTAGACCCGTGACTGTGCATAGGTTAATGTGGCGAGCCTCAGTGTCCTCGTGCGTAGCATGGGTATAACACTAGCATCCACCCACAATGCTGGGAAGATTCCTTGCGTCAGGCTGTGGCGCTGCCTGGCACAGAGTCTCCGAGGTGACGGTGCTGCCTTAAGTACCAGCATGGTCGGTCTCCCCTTCCCCAGGCCCCCGATGGGGCGGCGCTCACCTGAGGCTGCCACATCAGCAATGGACCTCTTGGTGACGTGGGCCATGAAGCCCACGATGGAGAAGATGACAAAGCCGGCAAACATGCTGGTGCAGGAGTTGATGCAGCAGACAATGATGGAGTCCCTGCAGGGAGGACAGATGGCAGCATCGGGAGGCTGCATGGCCGAGCCCCTCGGTGCCTGGGGAGCCATGCCAGGGAAAGCGGAGCCAGGGGTGTCAGGGCGAGGAGAGGGCCAGAAGAGGGGCTCAAGGGGGTAGGCTCAGGGACCAGTTCGCCAGAAGAGCCTAAGAGGTGTGACCCCAGGAGGTCATGACCCCTGGGGGGGGGTGGTCTGGAAGGGTTTGGCCCAGGAAGCAAGGCACTGTCTCCCACCTATAAACATTGTTGTGGAAAGAGTTGTAGCTCCCAAGAGCGATCAGGGATCCCAGGCCCAGGCCGTAGGAGAAGAAGATCTGAGTAGCCGCGTCCAGCCACACCTGTGGACAGAGTAGCCAAAAATCCCCCAAATAATTACAAAGCAGCAGCTCCCAGGTGTGCTTACATGGGCTAGCTAGCTCTCCCTGGTAACAAGGGGCCTCAGAGGGGCACAGGTTGCAGGGCTGGTCAGGGGCTCAGGAGTCAGTTTGACTCCTACCCCCGGGGCCTCCGGGGCCCAGGGCCACACTGGAAGGGACGGCTCACCTCAGAGTCTGACAGCTTCTGGAAGTTGGGCGTGATGTAGAAGAGGATGCCCTCTGTGGCCCCGGGCAGCGTCACCCCCCGGAAGAACAGGATGATCAGCATGATGTAGGGGTACGTGGCAGAGAAGTAGACCACCTGGGAGGGCAGGGGGAGCCGGGGTCAATCCCCTCCAAAGCATCCAGCTTCCCCTCTCCCACTCCACCCACATCGCCCTGGCTGCCCGGGCCTTCTTGCCAGGTCTTCCTCCTTCAGGAAGCCTTCCTGGACTTCCCCAGTCTGCTCCGATTGGTCACCTTGGACTCTGAGGCAACCAGTCAGCACCTGATTTTCCCCTTTCTCTTCTTTATGCTCTTGGTAATTGATTCAGTAATTTGGTGAGAGTAGAAAAAAAATTTTAATTAGCTATGAACAGAGAGAGAGGGAGGGAGAGAGAGAATTGTAGTCACATCTCCTGCCAGGATAATGCAAATTACATGATGGGCAGCAGTTCTCTTGTTTGGGCACCAGGGTGCGCAGTGGACAATATAAATGGCTCCAGTTGAAGGAATGAGGTTCCTGGGTGGTACCTGCTGTTTGCTATTGTTTGTTAACCTACAGGTAAGTGGTTCAAACCTAGTGGCCCCTCTAGAAAAAGGCCTGCTTGGGAGGCACCTAGTATCTGCACCATTCCCAGCCAAGAACACTCCCGGTGTGGAGTGGAACCCGCCCTGCCGCGAAGGCCTAGGATTCTTGTTGTTTGTTTAGGGATGGATCCATAAATGTGGGATGGTTAACATTTTAACTTCTTTTGAGAATTTTTTTCCCATTGACAATCGCCTTTTATTTTTTTCTCCTTTTACTCCAGACCATTGTATTGGGAGCTAATACAGATATCTTATCAGCCCCACCATTTGATCCCGTCAAGTGGTCAAGCAGTGTTGCACCATTGCTACCACAATCAGTGTCACTGAGCGCCTTTGAAGAACACAACGTATCTCCAACTGCATGCAAGGGCAAGCTGGAGCGGCGGTGACAGCTCAGGTCAGCAAAGTCTCTGCGCTGCCACTCGCCTTTCCTAGAAAGTTCTCCAGGACCTGCACAAGGAAGCCTCCTACCTAAGTCCAGTTTCCATCAGCTGCCATGTAGCTCTGTGGCTAGTAAAGCCGCCTTGAATGTGGTGATGCACGAACGAGCTAGAGTTTCGAGCACGGAAGCTCTGTGGAAAGAAAGAACTTCAAGCAGGCCATTTTGTATGCCGCAGAAAAAATTTTAAATGTACCTGGCTTGACAAATAAAAAGGACTTCTGAAAAAAGAAAAAACAACACGAGGCTCGAATGATGTAATTTTGTTACTTTTCATTTTACTTGTTGACTGTTTAGGGTGCACACTGGTTTCTTTCCCCCCTTTTTGTTTCTTAAGCCCTGTTTTATGGTCTCAGAGAAAAAATATGATATGATTTTTAATTACACAAAGTAGTTCCTCAGGAGGCTCCATCCCTGCTCGGGCATTCCCTACAGTAACCCGTTCAGGCTACCTGCAATTTGATGTAGCTCTCAGGAGCACGCCATCAGACATCTGGGTCTGTAGGAACTCTTATCCTTTTTGGAAGGGGGTGGGGTTCTAGAGGCGAGGGGACTGAGCAATAAGGCACGAGCTTAAAAGCGGTTGGTCTCATTGCCGCACGACTATGCCCTAAGTGCTGTTGAGTGGCTTCCAGCCACAGCGACCCCGAGCACGACACCGACACCGCGGTCGGGGCCATCCTCACAGTCCCTGCTGTGAGCCCGTCGCTGCAGCCCCGGAGCCAGTCCACCTCTCCGGGCCCTTCCTCCTCTTAGCTGGCCCTCCACTTCACCACACATGGTCCTTCTCCAGAAACCGGCTCTTCCTGAGAACCGGCCCACAGGACTTTCCAATGCCTTTCTGGAATCTGGACTTCCTCCAGCATGACAGGTGGGCGACTTTGTTGTGCAGGTGCTGGCATGAAGTATACTTATTTTCTAAAGCACCGTGTGTTTTTGTTTTGTTTTGTTTTACCAAACTGGTAAGCAGAGGACTGCCATTGTTGCCTGGTCTTGCATTTTCTTTGCTCATTACTGTGGAAGAGCAATTTTCAGGTTCAACGGCCTGTGTCTCAGAGTTGACGGGGCTCTGGCTCTTGCTCAGCATGAATTGCTCTCTGGGCTGGCACTATCTCCCTGACTTGACTCTGAGCTTTCGTAGGATTAGGACAGGCTGGAAACTGGAAACCCCACTGGAAACCCCACTGTTCTTGCGATTAAGAAACAGGAGCTCGGAGCTATCTGGGTCACCTATAAGTAGTGTGCCTTAGAGTCCGTTTTTTATCCTCTTTGAACCTTGCTGTTTTTCATCTGAAATGGGCACAGCCACCTTGGCTACTCAGAGAGGTTGTCTGTATAAGGGCTAACAATCACTTTCTACTCCCTGCCCAAGTCTTCCGTTTCCCTATGTCTCCCACGATCAACATGGACCAAGGTACACAGTTGTTGCTTAGCAAGCACTTGTGGATGGATTGGTTGGCTCACTCAATAGATACCATTAGAGGGTCCCTACCCTGTCCCCAAGAAGTGACCATCTCCCAGTGTGGCAGGAACTCAAGATTCCATTGTTGCCAAGTTGATTCTAACTCATACAAGCCCCAAAGGCCAGAGCAGAGCTGCTCCTTAGGGTTTCTGAGGCCCTGCATCTTTACAGAAGCAGACTGCCTCCTCTTTGTCCTGCAGAGTGGCTGGTGGGTTTGAACTGATGACCTTGGGATAGCAGCTCAACACTGAACCAGAACTCCAGATACCACCCAAAGTGATGATAGGTGTTTTGCAGTGGCATAGTGGTTACTAACCTCAAGGTTGGTGAGGTGAGGGTCAGACTCCCTACCCAGGACGGAAATCCCTTTGTGACCCTCCCCTGTGCACCCCCTCACCTTTCCAGTCCAGGCAACACCCTTCCAGATGCAGAAGTACACGAGGACCCAGGCGATGGCCAGTGTGATGGCCAGCGGCCAGCGGATCTGACCTGGCTTATCCAGCCCGTCCGTCATCTGGTGCATGTTGCGCCTGGTTGAGGGAGAGAGGAAGGAGTCCGGGACTTGTCAGGGGCCCAGGGTGTGGACTTGAACCAACCTCCACTGTGGCTGTGCTAACTGTGCTCCCTGCGGTTCAAGACATGTCCAGAGAGGGCCTGGAGGCCATTACACCGTGGGGGGAGAGTGAAGACATGAAGGGGCTGGGAACATTACACCGTGGGGTGGAACATGTGTCTAAGGAAGAGGTCAAAGGAAAGAAGACCTTTCTGGAAAGAATGGGAGACTAAAATTCAAAATAGAAAAAAGACCAGACTTCCTGGTCCGCTAGAGCCTGGTGGAACCCCCAGGCCTTATGCCCCCTGGACGTCCTTCCAACCCCCTTCCAGAGGTGGCTTCCAGCCTAGGCCATGAATACCCAGTCAAGAGCAGCATGAACTCAGAACGGTCGGCCCATGAGAGCACAGGGGTCGCATGCTCCCCAGATTGAGCTCAGCGGCAGTGAGGGGCAGGCAGACGGGCAAGTACAGCAGCGAGCCTGGGAGAGGAAGCGGGGAGCGCAGGGTCCCACAGAGGGATTCGCAACTCAAGTCATCAAACACTGTGCACAGCGTGCTGACTAGACCCCTGCCCTCCAGACCCAGTGGCACATCCATGGGAATGAGCAGGCTCCGCACAGACCACCTGGGCGGGGGCAGGTGCGTGATGGTCATTCACAAGCCGAGGACCCCAGGGCCCACGGAAGGCCCAGGGAATCAATCTGACAGGGACGCCAGAGACCAGGCCAGACCCCGATTTTAGCCTGCGGGCTGTGAGAGAAGAGCCTTCGATTGTGTGAAGCCAAAACAGAGGTGGGGAGAGGAAGGGGTGGGGAGAGAGAGGAGAGGAGCTTCCATGTCCTTCCTCTGGCCACCAGGACTGCTTACCGGCACACTGTGACCATCTCCCATGTCCCTGACACCATCACCTCTGCTCTGCCCACATCCCAGGTCCAGAAACCAGCCCCAAGTCCAACTTTGCGCCCCTGCTTAGACTCAGTGCAGAGTGCTGCTCAAACACCCTGGTCAAGAATTGCACCCCCACCTCCCCGCTGTAGTCACCCCTCTGAACTCGGCCCTGATCCCCCAAAATGCCAGGATGATGCAGCTTGCTATCCATCACCTACACTGCTCCCGCCCCCTCCAGGCCTCTGCCAGACTGGTCCTCCTGAAGCTGCTCGGCCTGTGAGGCCAGCCTTCACCTGCGTTGCCCCACGGCCCCTGCATCTGCCCGTGGGCCCATCCTGTCCTCTCATCAGATGGGCCCACTGCCAGTGCTCGAGATGCCCATGGCTGGGTGAAGCCTTCGGTCCTATGGCTGTGGCATGCGTGGGGGGCTGCTGGCGTGCCAGCCAGCCAGAGCAGAACCGAGCCTGATTTCTATCTGCCAGCTAACAGCCCAGCCAAGGATGCTGGTCCACGAGAAGCCTCTGGGCCTGACCCTCCTGGGAGAACCCTTCAGAGACGCCAGCACGGGGGCTTCCTTCACGCAGAGAGAGCTGGGCGCCAGCGTCTCCTTTGTCAAACCCGTGTCCCCAGCACGGGCCGCTTCTCTAGGCTGCTACTAACAGGGCCGCCCCTCCGCCCAAGCGGAGCGATCCCTGCAGCTGCCTGCCGCCCTGTGTTCCCGAGGACAGACAGCATGTGCGCAGAGATCTGTGCGCGTGCGCGCACATGCCTGGGGGCGGCGGGCATCATAGCAGAGACGCTGGGCTCCTGAGTGCCCTGCAGGTTCCCCCGGGCGAACAAGCCCCTCGCCGGCCTCTGCAGGCGCTGCTCCTCAGCCCTCGTGCTGGTCACTGTCAGGCTCCCCCCACCCTAGGTCTGCCGACCCCACCCACCGAGGGGCGTGTACTCACTCCCAGAACTCCACCACGGCGCTGGTCAGGTTGGTGGTGTTGGCAATGCTGTAGTTGGAGAAGCAGCGGTCGGTGTTCCAGGGGTTATTACACTGCTTCCAGGGCAGGGCCTGCAAGGACAGGGTCGCCCTGTCACGTCCCCCCAACCCCAGCCCCGGGGTGGGCGGCACAGTTCCAGCACGCCCATCCGCCTGTAGCCCAGGGACCTACTCACACAGGGAGGGTCTCACCGCCCCTTCCCACCAGCTCCTGGGGCGTCCGATACTTGGGGTCCCATTTCATGGATCAGAGAGGGGAGCAACTAGCTGGAGATCTCACAGCTACCAAGGCTCAAGCCCCAAGACTTGAACCTGGGCCTTCACATGCTGAGAGCCAAGCTTCCAGGCAGTACCACCAGGTCCTGTGGGTCTACTCCCAGCTCTGTGAGCTTGGGCAAGAGGCCCGGCCATCTCCTCATCTGTGCAATGGTGACAACAGCGGATGTGCCCAGTGCCTGTCCTCAGCAGGCGTGCTCCCAGGCACTGTACACTGATTTATCCCCCACGCCACATCGACCCTGGGAAGGGTTGCTAAGGATTCCGAGTGTCCCCAAAGGCGAGGTGGAAGTCCCCCTGTCCCCCTGTACCTAGGAAGGTGGCCTCATTTGGGAACAGGGGTTTTCTTTTGCTATCAGTTAAGTCAAATTTGAGCTTACCAGGGCTGGATGAGCCCTGATCCCTTCTGAGTGGGGGTCTTCTAAAAGGGGTTTCTCTGGCCCAGAAGACGGAGTCACCACCACATAAGCAAGCAGCAGAGAAGCATCAGGGATTGCAGAAGGCCACCAAGGGGCAGGAGAGGGGCATGGCCAGGCAGCCCCCAACCCCTGAGCCCTCAGAAGGGCGAACAGGCCTGATGCCCTGACGGGGTTCCTCACCCACAGAACGGTGCAACCAGACGTTTGTTTTATTTGTATTAAAAGCCGTGGGCATAGCTCTGGGTGGCAGCGCCGGAGGGTCAGGAGAAGAAGAGCCCCTGTCTCTAAGGGAGGGCACAGACCTCAGAGGACACAGAGCCATTGGCTGTCTTCCCCAAGGGGACAAAATGGATGTACAGCAGGGCTCGGGGAGAACCCAGGCAGCCTGGGCCCGCATAAAGTGGGGCCACAGGCGTGAGGAGAGGTGAGCCCACATACAGTGTCCGGCTTGGTACCTGGCCCAGGTGGGCATTCGCTCACGGTGCCTGCTGGAGAGAACGTTCTCCCTGGAAGAACCCCCAGGCCAGTGGAGTGGCAGGCACCATGACAGAGGGGGGCGTGAGCAGGCTCACTCCAGGGGGTGTGGCCCAGCACACTCACCATGGTGAAGGAGTTGTACAGGTAGTAGATGGCCCAGGAGATGATGACGATATAATAGATGTTGAGCCAGAAGGAGAGCACAGCAGCTGCAAGGCCCACACCTGGGAAGCGGGCACAGTATCACACAGCTATTAGCAGCCCTGATGGCCACCGTCGGACTGGGCAACACGGGACCAATCCCAGCCTGTCTATGACCTCCCTGGACCTTGGAGACAGGCATGCTAGAGGAGGCAGAGGATGCTGGAGAGTCAGTGATGGGCCCCAGGCTGCATTCACCCAGCTAGCTGCCAATGGAGCCAGACTGGCGTCTGGGGTGCAGCCCAGGTTGTAGAGGGGGCCAGGGGCTGGAGCTTCAGCCCTCGAGGTCATTGACATAATTCTCCGTGTGCCCACAGAAGTGCCTGCCAGGTAAAGGTCTAGGCACTCAGGGGCAAGCAGAGAAAATGGAAGGCAGCTCTTCCTGGGAATGAGCTCACAGGACAGAACAGGGTGGTGCCGAAGGGCCCTTCCTTCCTTCCCCCCACCCCCCGCCTCCACCACCACTGCCCTAAATGCCTGGTCCCCATCATCTGTCACCTGGCACCTCTCAACAGCCTTCACCATTCTCAGCGTGAACAGAAAGCCCCTAGCTCCACAGGTGTCAGGGGTATTCAGAAGCCCAATGGATGTGTGGGCAGAAGTGCCACTAGGACTTCATGGTACCTTCCAACCTGGGAGTCCAAAGGCTTACCCTTGAATGTGGGCACCAGTAGACTTACCTTGAACATGGGGACCAGATTTATCCTTAAACATGGGGACCAGTAGACTTACCCTTGACAGTGGGGACCAGTAGACCTACTGTTGAGCATGGGAACCAACAGAATTACCCTTGAACATGGGGACCAGTATATTTACCCTTGAACATGGGGACCAGTAGACTTACCCTTGAACATGGGGACCAGCAGACTTACCCTTGAACATGGGGGCCAATTTCCATACTCCAAGGCCCCCAATGGATGTGTATTGGCCTAGGGAGCATTCCAGCAGAAAGAGTGGGACCCCAGCAAAGATGAGTGTCAGGAAATAGGGGATCAGGAAAGCCCCTAGGGGAAGAGAAGAGATGTTTGTGGACCCAAGGCTTTGGAAAAGTCCCCCATGAGAGGGAGCATGTCCAGGATGACCTGATGCCCTGCCTTCAGGGCAGCACCCCAAACCAGACTGAGACCTAAGGGCATCTTTGCTCAAAATACATTCCTCATGAAACAAAGAGAGGAACATTTTTAGAATTATTAACTGAGGACTCTTGCCCTTTGACATCTGGGGTTGGCATGATCCAGGATCAATCCCACCCCACTGGGCTAGTTGTTCAAATCACCCTTCGGTGGAGTCCCTGGTTAGTGCTAACAGTTAAGGCGGGCACTGCTCGCTTAAAGATGGGAGGTTTGAGCCTACCCAGGGGCAACTCATAGGAAAGGCCTGATGACCTACTCTGACAATTTCACCATCAAAACCATCAAAAGACCTTTGGCGCACAATTATTCTGTGACACACACAGGGTCACGCTTGAAACAAAATGAACCCCAGTGCCACAGAGGCGGTCTCTTCTGGGGAGTATGTTGGAAAATGTGTAAGCACCAAGAGAGGGAGGCTGGTGCTCCCTTTGGATGCGGTCTTTCCACCTAAAGTCACCTGGAAGATGCCTCAGCAGGAGCCTCCCCTGTGGCGTCCAGGACCACCAGGGGGGGTGCGCCCACTCTTACCTCCGCCATTTTTCCCACAGAGATAGGGAAACCGCCAGACGTTGCCCAGGCCGATGGCGTAGCCCACACAGGACATGAGGAAATCGAAGCGGCCCTTCCACGTGTCCCGGTCTGGAAGGTCTGCTGCCTTCTTCTGCACCTTGACCACCAGGGTTTTGGGCTTGTCATTGGCCATAGGGGCCTCGCTGACCTCAGTGGAGATCTGCCCATCGGCCACCTTGCTGCCACTGGTCGCCATAGCTCTGAGTCTGGATGCAGGGGTCTTGGCAGATGGACGTGAGATGTCAGCCCCGGTCCACGTGGACAGCAGGTTTGCGGTTCAAGGTCGCCCTGGGAGGACGGAGAACTGCATTGTGGGAGAAGCCTGAAATCACCCAGATTTTCCCCTGACATGAGAAAAAAACAACATGACTCGGACAGTCAGGGGTTCAGGAGGCTCTGATGTGGGCCTCCTTTCTCCCAGGAGGTGCCTCTGAGTTCACAGACATGGGGTGAGGAGTGGTGTGGTGGCACCTCCTGGGTGAGCCTGGGACACCCAGTGCTAAACGCCCTCCGTCACGTACCCTGGTGGAGAAGAACCCACAGGCCAACGGATATCCAAGCAGATACCAAGGGTTCCTGGTCCGTGAATGTGAAGATGGCAATCCATTCTGCATGCCCCGGGGCCACACAAGTCAGGGCCAGGGCAAGCCGTGGGGCTCACCTTGGTGAGGTCCTGGCTGCAGGGAGTGGTGGGCCCTGAGACAGACCCCATGTGATCTTTTCTGAACTCTGTTACTTTGTACCGAATTCTTGACCTCGATGCTCCACTCTCCCTACTACGTTGGTGTTGGTGGTTGGAGAGACGCACAGCCTACTGCACAATTCCACAAATGTCTTCCTGCACCGTGTAGAGATGTGGGCTGCATTCCTTGAGAGCTGTGTGGTCATCTTCCCAGTTGGTTCCTACTCTGAGTTCTTCCTCCTCCAGTGCCGTCCATTCCCTGCCCTCAAAGGCTCTTATTTAATCTCATGGAATCAATTTGCTGGTGTCCGTTTGATCCCATGGAGAGGGGTCCTAAAGGAGCACCTTGGTCAAGGAGGGCAACCCTGACCAGCTAAGCTGGTTTAAAGAGGACTTCAGGGGATACTTTTGGCTTAAGGCTTCAAGATTGTCTCAGAATAATAGTTTCAGGAGTTCATCCAGCCCTTATGGCTCTAAAATGTCTGGTTCCCAGGATAATTTAAAATCTGGTCCTGCATGTTCTCCCCCGTTGGACCAGGATTCTTCTACAGAGTCTTTGTTCTTTGTACACTTAAAAACGGTACCCAAACCCCCCTCACTTCTTCTGGCTTGTTCATGAGCTCAGGATTGCTGTTCAAAAACTGGCCCTGCTTTGAAAATGAAGAGAATCATCCATACCAGGGGAAGGACAGTTGGTCCTTGTAACAGGCATTTTGTATTTGTGAATCTGACGTCTCGGTAAATAGCCCCCAACCAGTGCTCACGGTGCATTCACGGCCTTTGCGGACGTGTACACGTAGCAGCAGATGCACTCCCTGCATGTTCGCATCTGAGGCTGGAGGCTGCGAACAGTGCTGTTCCTGCACTGCAGACAGGTCTGCCAGGTGCCAAGCTGACCGCATAGTTGTGTTTTCCTGGTGGGTTTGCCCTTCCAAAGGGCCCCAAGCGCAGCGCTGAAGTGCTGTCCAAGGTCCTGAGCCCAAGAAGCTCCTGGTGCGCTTTGTGCAGAAAATATAGGCATTAGGCATGTTGCTGTTTCAGGATGATATAGCGTAGGTATCGCATCACTGGCTGTGAGTTCAATGTTTATAAGTCAGCAACCACTGGAACAAAACGCCTTGAAGCAGAAACACACACACACATCAAGCCTGGGTGTTGATACGTTTCTGGGAGTGTTGTGAGCAGAAGTTCCCAGGAGCCTGCCTCTGTTTCTCCTGGAACAATGGCTCAGTAGGCACGGACTCAGTGTTTTCACTGCAACCTTGCAGGAGAGAACCACTGGGAACATTGAGCAGGGTCTGTGTTTGCTGATACTTCAGCAGCAGTCCCCAAGCCCGACCAAGTGTCCCAGCCACACGGGGTGCCCAGATGCCCACAAGATGGATCGCATAAGACCCTCAGGGAGGCATGTCCTGAGCCTCTATTTTGAACAAACACTGTGGAAGGTTCTTACCTGACAGCCCAGCTTTGGGCCCCAGTTGAGACTGGACCATGGGCTTAGATGACTTCTGCAGACCCCCTGTCGCTCCCAGATGTTCTACCCACTCCCCACCTCTTTGGCTCCAGAGGCAGCAACCCTGGATCTCATGCCTACATGGCTGCTTTTCACCTGGCTTAGAGCGGCAGGTTTTCAGTGGTTCAGGTTTTACCTGATGATTTTCTGTGCTCCGTCAGCTCTGACAAAAGGCTCCCTCGGCAGCCACTGGGCGAGACCCTGCAAAGTGAAGATGGGGATAAGAGAGGCGATGAGAGGGGGGTAGAGCAGACGGGGCTGCCCTGGACAGAGAGAAGCCGGTGTAGGAAGCTGGCTGGTCAGCGCCTGTGCATCTGTGATGCATGTGCCCATGCAGCATCCCTGGCTGGGTGCCCTCAGGGAGCCCATGCGGCAAGGCATCGGCAGCATGCAGGACTGGGGGCCACCACCCCTCAGATGGTCACTGGGGGGTGGGGGGCTTGGCATGAAGGCTATGCAAGGAAGACATTCCATAACTTTATCAGCAGGCAAAGGGAAGCCAACAGGGGGCCTGTGGCTTCCCCAAACCCCGCTGGGAGCCAAGGGACAAAGGCTCCACCCTCCACCCAAACTTGCAGAGATGTTAAAAACCAAATAAGAACATGGGGAAGAGCACCTCACTTTATTGAGTGAGAAAGGTTCATTTCAAAACAGTTTTATTCAGTATGATCCTTTTTTGGGGGTAGGGGTATTCAAAATTAAAATGTTTTGTTTTTTAAAATAACAAACTAGAAGCACACACTCTAAGACGTCAACAGTGATCCGTTCATGAGCGATGGCCGTTTTCTTCTATGCACTTTTGTGGGTCTCTAGAATGCACTACAGCTTTTCAAAAACCACAAAGAGCACACAATAAACTTACAGGGCGCTCAGCACAAACAGGGGGGGGGGGGGTGCTAAGCATCAGTCTGTGGCTCCTCAGGCGTCGGAGCTGAGCCAAAGCAATGTGTGATGTGGGATGTGACTTCTGCCCCAAATGGCCTCATCCCTCAACTTTGCCCCCTGATGTGGGCCGCCCCCCTCTGCCTTTGCAAGATCCACCAGCCTTCCAGCCCCTCACATGCAGTCCCCATTACCAAACATCATCATTTCTTCCCAGATGTGAGAGAGGACCAGAACACCTTCGGATAATGCAAATTCCACCGTGAGGCCCTGCTTCTTGTTCTCAAGGCTGGGTGCTCTGGTGAGCCTCCTCCGTAGCCCCTGGGGTTGTCTTGAAGCCCATCTGTGTCCCAACTCGGGCAGGGCACAGCACTGCCAGCCCTTCTCTCTGAACTCCACTAGGGTGAACTCTTGCCATCCTCAAAAATCACAAGAGCAGGCTCTGTGGTCCACCAGGGAGTCTTTGGAATTACCTGAAAGAGCAGCTGTGGAAAAGCAGGGAGAGGCTGGTGCTAGGGAAGGGGGAGTCCTTGCCACACCAGGGCCATCACAGTGATGCGCTTAAGCCCTAAGATTTATCTGTCCTTGTGGGCTACAGCAGCATAGCTGTTCAAGATGACCCAACCACCTTGGCTGAACTCAGTTGGACCAGGAATGGTCACCTGGCCCATGCTGGTCAAACTCCTTCCCTGGGAATTTGCCATGGGGCTGAGAAAGAGGGTCAGTCTTCCTGAAAGACGGGCCATCTTCTGCCCAAACTTAGATTCAGAGTAGCAATGAGTTAGCCAGCTGAGAAGTAATAAAACCGGAGGTACAAAGATGGAGGGGGTGTTTTAGGATGCTGTAGTTCTCAGTGCCAGACCTACTGAGCACTGGCAGCCTTCCAGCTCTTGGATCTTATCAAACGGTCTCATGGTTGTACAATAAATTCCTGTATCACAGGGTTCCTGGTACAACCTTGCATTTCTGTTCCCCTCCTCCTTGAAGGGACTTATGCACGTTCGCAGGAAAGACCCGCCAAGCCTGCAGAAGCAAGTTCTGGCTCCACTGTGCGTCTCTGTTGTGTCCCATGGAGACTCAGACCCAACCTCAGAATGCACGGGGCTTATGGCACTGATGCTGTCTGCAGGCCACAGGGTCACACAACACCCTTCAGAGAAAGAGCTAGGGAGGGACCCATGCAGGTGAAGCTCGCCTCAGGTCCTAGCAGTCAGGGAGGGCGGCAGGAGGACATGTCCAGAGGTGTTCCTTGAAGAAACGTTTGACATCTGCACAAAGAAAAAGCCGGATTCTAGTCCCCAGGAAGTTACTCAGTCACTCTTCTCGTGCCAAGGGACCGAAGGTGGTGGTTCGCCATGAGGAGTTCACCATGAGGAGGCCATGTGTGTAATGTGTACAGAGAGGTACATCTAGATCCAGCCATGTGTGTAATGTCTAGAGAGCGGTACATCCAGATGCAGCCGACCCCCCTATTCTCTTGTAGCCATAAGTCTCAAAGAGTTTTCCTTTTGGAAGACATGGGACATATTAAGAAAAACTAAAAGTCACGAGTTAATATAACTGATGACTCTTTGAGAATACATCATTAAGAAGACCCTTGGATTTCAAGGCAGGTAGCCCCCCCACCCCCACCCCAAGGCTGAGTCTAACAGACTAAGCCTCCCCCCGATGCATCTCACTTCAGGAAAGTTGCTTTACTTTCTGACCATCATCTGTCCAGTGGGATAATAATGTGTGTGTGTGCGGCATTAATAGCAGCAACTCCCTCAGAGAGCTGTGCAGGCTAAGTAAGATTGTATTGTACACACAAAACAATTGAAACAAGGATGGGAACATCCAGCCCAGCCCCTGCTGTGAAGTTGTTTCTGACGGGTCATGGGGACAGTGATCGGCTAGACAGAGCAGCTCCATAGGGTTCCCTTTATGGAAGCAGACTGCCCGGGCTTCCCGCTGCAGAGGCGCTGGTAGGATTGAACTGCTGACCTTTCAGTTAGGGGCCAAGTGCTGAACCGCTGGGACACCAGGGCTCGTGACCGGAGCCCAGCTCACAGGACCACCACCACCACCAAGGCAGCAGCTGCACCACGCTCCTTCGTGGCCGCCTGCCGGGCACCGCAGCCGACCTGTCTGCAGACACAGTCCTCTTGGAAGGACTGTCGGCAGTGGATCGCCAGGCCTTTCTTCTGAGGTGCCTCTCTGTGGACTTGAACCCCCAACCTTTGGGTTCATGGCCAGAGGTGTTCACCATTCACACCATCCAGAGATTCGGGCATGCAGTTAGGACTCTTGGAATTCCAGCCACTCTTTTTCCTGCGATTGCTACCATCCTGTCCTTAATGCGGCACACGGGACTTCTCAGAGGTCCTACTGATAGTGGTAGTAAGGAGAAACAATGGTAAAACCAAAAAAAAAGCAATGGACATAGGGCCGACTCCCATGCATAATCACCTCACGTGCGTCTGGTAGAAGCGTGGTTTTTAATAGTGGGGATCTTTTGGAAGTAGGTCATCAGGCGTTCCTTCTGAGGCACCTCTGGATAGATGTGAACCTCCAGCGCTTATTCGTGATGCCCACTGTCACCCGGAGGCTTCTTGTCCGGACGCTTTGGCATCGTGTTGGCACTTTCAGAAGGTCATTGGCAGTCTTCCTTTTACTCACCACAGAGGATGCATAAAAGTGGGTGTCGGCAACAATTCAAACTTAGTGGCAGTCAGGACAGGCTCTGAGCCAAGAATCAACCAAGGCACTCGGGCAAACAAAGCAGAGCGCAAAGACTCAGACCCTCCAGGAACCGGTGCAGAAGAGCACCTTCCAGGAGCATGCAATGAAAATGTTCTTTAAAACTGCGTACCCATCAGGAACTGTTGGTCAGAAACTGATGAACCACTATGAAGAAAGTTGTTGTTTGATTTGTAGTGCGGCTCCTGTTGGTCACGTGTAAAATCTTTTCTGCTGTTCAGAACAATGGCACACTCTGTATGCTCAGTTTGTGGTCCTCCATGCAATGTTGTTCTTGCTCCTAACAGAGTAAGGGGTCTTCTTCTCAGACATCGTACGCGTCTGAAGAGTATCGAAGCTGCCTTGCCTTCGATTCCCCCTGAGGTGTGGAGGGCTTGGGCGCTGACCCCAGCTGAGCCATTGGGCTCACCTCTCCACACTGTTGGGAATTACCTCTCAAACCTGAGCTCCCCCCACCACACTGTTTAATAGAAGAATTGATCTTGTTCATTAAACTCTCTAAGTTCCATGGACAGTTTTGTTTTTGTTCTTGCCAATATGTTTTTAGTATCTTTCGGAAGAAAAAAATGAGAAATGCTGTGTCAATGCTGCCAGGGCACACTGGCGCACCCTCTAGGGCTCCACCAAGGTCGCGCTTTGGTCCTTGGACATGCTCAGCCTCCTCTGGTGCTCATGACCTTAGTGAAGCTATTTGACCCATCAGTGGCCACACTTTTTCTGCACATAAAATTAGAAACCAAGGGTCCCCAAATCAAACAACCTTAATGGGATGTCATTTGATTGGTACTCCGAGGCCTCTAAAGGCAGGAAGACTGCTCTCCTTGCACACTATGGTTTCCCGTAGATTCCTTTGCCCTCAACAAGCCACCCAGTGGCACCATGGGTTAAGCATTGGGCGACCAATCAAAAGTTGGGTGGTTTGAACCCACCAGCCACTCCACAAGAGAAGGCTGAATCGGTCTGTCTCCATAAATATTGACCGCCTCAGCACCCTAGGAGGCTTTTCTACTCTGTCCTATGGGGTCACTATGAGGGGCATCCACTAAATGACAGTGGATATGCCGTGAGCTGCTCTCCTGTACGTCTGTAAGCATTTTATATGAGCTTTTGGTTTCCTAAGAACCTAAGGAATAAATATTTACTCAGATGCCTTTTTCACACCTGTGATGTGTGGGCTGAGGAAGACCCTCACGGTACCTTTACTGCCGAAGCTCTCAGAGTTAGGTGGCGCTGTGAAGGATGTTCCAAAATTGGGTGAAGACAAGTTTACAAGTTTACTGAGGAATTTATCATTTGTATTGAAACTTGTTTAAAAACCTTCCTCCCCCCAAAGTGACAATAATTACTCTATGCATAACTGCCTGGATGAACCAAGCAACGTCTGACTCCCCCAAAAGATTGAAGAGACACTGCTCTAACTAACCCTGAGTTAGTGTTGTTTGTGGGCTGGTCCCACTTAAAACCAAGTTCTACAAGCTCCTAACACCAGGCCGGAGAGGCAACGTCACTTGTCCTGAAGTCCACGGAGTCAAAGTCTCCCCGAAGCTACCGGTGCCCAGGAGCTGGGTGAAGAGCCTACTAGAGGTAGGCACCCTATTGGAGGAACCGCCTTAGGGGGCACACTATTCGTGTTTCCTGCAGAAACAAA